TGGGGTGAGTGAGAGTGGGGGGGACCCCCCCACACACTCCCCCCATGTTGCATAGCCCCTAGCGCAAACAGCAGCAGCAGGAGGCTGGTGCTCGGGACCAGCAGAGGTGCTGTCTCCCAGAGGTGCATGGTTTCAGCCAACACTCCATGTGGTGGCGAGGAGTATAACCCAGCTGGAGCTGCATGCGGCACGTGCAGCTCGCGGCACATGTGCAGCTCTCGGCACTCATGTGCCACTGGGGGAAACCCCGCAGATTGGAACCAGCTGCCTTCGCCACTTACTACCATGCAGGTCCCAAGACTCCACTGGAAGTGGAGGAGAGCCCTGACCCTTGCTTCCCAACTGAGTCCTGGGCAGGTTGGCCAGGCTGCGCTCCTTGCTACCACGTGCAGCACTGGCTGGTGCCACATGCCACCGGGCAGCAGTGCCTGTATGGCCCCCAAGCACCAGCCCCCTGCTGCTGCTGCTGGCAGTGGGATCTGTGCACCATGGGGGGGTCCCCTGCGCTTCTGCCCAGCTGCAACACCCCCTCTCCTCTCCGCACCCCCGCTGCTTCCCTACTTGGTACCCAGAGCAAGCAGGATGCCAAGGAAGCTAAGCAGGGCCCCCAGCTGCTGCAAAAGCTGTGTGCTGGCTGAGCCAGGACTTTCTGCCCACGAGGGTGGGGGCAAGGTGTGCAGGTTGGGCAGGGTACAATTAGTCAATTGCTTCCCACAGCCTGGATGAAATTGTCTGGTGGGCCGGATCTGGCCCATGGGCTGTATTTTGCCCACCCTTGCTCTACCTGTTGGTTTATGCCTAGTGTCACAAGGTATTCATGATGGCTTTGTTGGTTTGTGACTGAAATATTACAAGTTGAACAAAGATATAACTTTTATATGCCATCTAAGAGCTCTTATATATCCATTTAAGATATTTAGAATGTAGAACTAAGATAACATGTCACATCCCTTTCTTGGTACTCTTGCTAGCTTTGTGTGGTCATTTCACAGAAAATCTAATCATGACAGCACATCACTAAGCTCATTCTTCTAATCTTTAGAAACATGAACAAGAATTGAACTAATTAAAAAATAAATCATTTAAAACAAATTATAACCTTAGAATTTTTAAATAGTTCTGCTTTAGTAAAGAGCCTGTTCTTCCTCTGTCATTATTTAGGCTGACAAAAATAGGTAAATGGTTTGATGCAAGAAATAGAGCATTTCAAAGAAAATAGTTCAGCCTTATCATTTAAATTTTTCCTATGAAGGGCTTTGAAATATTAGGTCTGAACAATACTTTATGGTGTTTCTAGGTTGCTAGAACTCAAAGCATGTGGGAAACTTGTGAAAAATAAAATTTCGCAGATTCCTCAAGATTTTCACATTCAGGACCAGTTATTGGTCAAATCCTTATTACTAATAGTGCTGCAGATTTCAAATGCCAATGAGACTTTGAAATCAATTAGATTACCTGATGAGGCTAGAAAATTTTTCCTTATTGTGAATGACACTTTATAAAGAAGTACCTCAAAATGTTTCACAGTGAGTCATACCAAAATGACCATCCATTATAATGTAATGATGATGCAGTTGATAGAAACTAATAAGAAAGAATGATACTGCAGAATTCCCTTCCATGTTGCATTGAAAATTTACCCCACTTTGTACCAACTGCTTCTGGAAAACAAAAGGCATAATTTTAATGTATTTACAGAGTCTTTCTACAGTAATTTCCCGTAGATATTTCCCTAATTTTCCAACTGATTTTGTAAGATAGTATCCTGTATTTCTCAGAAGTCTGTGCTATGTAAAGCTATGGTATCCTGCTTCTAGAAGAGTCATAGTTTCCCATAAAATGACTAAGCTGTCTCACTCACTCTATAAATCTCTTCTGCAATAATCACATTTCAACATTCCTTGTGCAGGGTCTAATCCTGTTCCTACTGAGATTTCTGGTAAATCTCACAGTGCCTGCAATGGGAACAGGACTAGACCTTACAACTAGAGGTACAGAATAACGAAGGCATTATTTTGAATTACACATTTGCTATTAGAACATTTGTAATTCTCTTTGGTTTTTAGTTTAGTCCAAGGTAATTTGCACTGATGTCTTTCACTAATCTGACTAACTCAGTTTAGAGTGCCATAAACAAAGCAATAAAAATCAATGACTGTCACTAGGAACAGCCTGAAGTGAAATGTTCTGCTTCATAGCTGCTTGGTAGAGGAACATTCCAAAGAGAACTGGGATCATTAGCAGTGGGCACGTCGACCAGTTCATTAATGCGTCTTAGATACTGCGCATTTAATTTAGTACTTGCTTAATACAGTACTTATTAAATGAGCAGTGGCTAGAGTTACTGTGCACTGGCACATGGTTATTTTGTGATGCTTACTTCACATTAGCCTAATAACACTGCGCGGTAGGCCAACAGTTTTTAACCACCACACAACTCAGAGGTGTAGGAGGCGCACAGGGGTGCACATGCACCCCCCGAGAGCAAGTGCTCTCAGCTTAGGCAATGGGTAGTGGAGGCAGGCAGAACACTGGTGTGCCACCTCCGGAGAAGTGCCACTGGCATTTCCAGGCTCAGCATCTGGCTGTGGGGAGACCCCTGCCCAGCCCCGACACTGCTGTGGCCACCTGCGGACAGTCTCCGCTTGGTCTGCCCTTGCCACTGATGTCAGCATGGCCACCTGTGGGCGGTCCACTGACACGCCCCACCACTGCCTGCAGACAGTCACTTTGCCCCCCCAGCCTCAGGAGGCACATGTCACGTATGACGCTACTGCACAGTGTTATTAGGCTAACGCGCAGTAAGCATCTTGTGTAGACACTCTTGGTTGCATATATATGGTAGTCAGTATCAAAATTTGTTAATTAAAGCATACATGCATGTAATAACAATTATGTCGTAGTAATACTATGCTGGTACTATATGATTGCGTAGCATGGACCTGATCTTGTTCCTACTAGAAGTAATGACAAAGCTCCCACTGACTTCATTGAAAATGGAATTAGACCTATTGAATGGCTAATATCTCATGTTGTGAATTTGTAATATTTTACAAGAGGAAGGAGAAATAATCTTATAATGCCATCTGCCAGCTTTGAAGCTAAATGGAATGGACCATGTCAGTTATAGGGAGGGCTGTCTTTAAAGTGACTTTGCTGTTTATTTGTCTTATTCTGGCTTTCTGGTTGCTTAGTAACAAACAATTCTTTGTGCAAAACTGCAGTATGTGAAATTTTAACAGGTTGGTAAAACTTAAGCATCCAATTAATATACATTTGCTCTACACAGTATTTAAATGAAATGGCCACTTCCATTTTTTCCTTCTGCAGGCTGTGGTTTTAGAGAAGCAGGGAGAGATATGTATTTGTGAACAGAGATGAACAGTAAGTTTGAGGTATAGTACTTCTGAAATAAGTAGTTTGTCTTTTCAGATAGATAATATGGTAGTTGTAAACTTATAAAAGAAAATATACATTTGGTTTTTAATAAACCATACATAACCCACCCTCTTTAGTTAATAGGTGCACCCTGGGTAATTAATGTTTGTGAACAATTACATCTTTTCCAATTAAACCACCAAAACATTCAACGTCAAACATTTGACTTCAAACTTCCCAGGCAGTAAAGCAAAGAATGTTGAACAGGAGACCAGGTACACTCCACACTTAAATCCAGACTTTGAGAGCCCGGTGAGGAAATTCCCACAGAAATATGAACTTGAACCAGCTACTACAGCATCCTAAGTGGGGAGCAAGTTTCGGATCAATTAGAGTAAGCCCATTGGTATATGTAGATTCAGTGTCGAACTATGAAGTCTCATAACAGTGGAGCTATATGGCAGGCCCAAAGTGGTAATAAAGCTTCTCTGTTCCAGATACAAGTTCATAGGTAAAACTGATCAGGAATTTTCTGATGTGCCGATTTTTTTAACCAGAAAATTCCAGTGCATCAAAATTGAAATTTTTTTTCTTCCATGGAAAGGGAGGCCTTGGCAAATTTTCCCTTTCAAAACCTTTTTGGAAAATAGTTAAAAGTCACAAAAAATCCTTTTTTTGAAATTTCAGTTAAAAGGTGGATTTTTCATTGGTTCTAAAGGGACTTTTTTAATGTGTTTTTAATGTGTATACACTTTTTTAAAGTGTTTTTTTTTTTAAACCATTAAAAAAGGACAAAATGGAAGGGGAATGTTTCGGAATTACCAAACAAAACATTCTGATTGATCCAAGTGAAAGTTTTAGGTACTTAGTTCATTAACATTTTCCATATTTCAGCTTTTTGTGTCTCCGAGTTTGTCTTGTAAGACTATTTCCTATCCAGCTCTCCTCTACTCTACTTCCCCCAGGAACACAAAATTAAATCTGGCCCTAATATATATTGTATCCTTATCACATCTTCGTACCAAGACATTACTACTCCAGGTCTCCAGTCCCATGAACGAAGATGATGAATTAGCACATGATTCTGTACTAGATAACACCAGCTGCCTTTGAGATGGTATTGTCTAACTTACATGTGAATGTTGTGTTCTGTAGAGAATAGGGAAGGCTTCAAAGGGAGTGCTGCTTGCCAACCCCTTTCCATATGATGACATTTCTTCCAAAGGGAACCCTAGATCCCATCAGTATAAAGCATGGCTGCATCTCCCCACATGCTTAAATAACACGATTACTATTTCAAGCTTCTAAGTGGATATCTACACTTTATTTTCTAAACATAATAATGTTTTGGGTTGCTTTTATTAATGGAGATCCTGACAGAGTATTTGTACAGCTCGTTCACTATAGCTGCTGATGAATACAGAAGGAAAAACAAAGCCAGCTACTGACAAACAATATTAACTACTTTAATGTAAATTATTATTAGTTCTTGTCACTGTATATATGACACAGCATTAAACAACTCTTTTACTTGCGCAGGCATCTGAGCAATATTTTGTCTTCTATGTGTTTATGGCAGGCAGAATCTCTTAGATAGGGCATGACTATCCAGCAGCCCTCATTCAAGCAAGACTCTCATTGACTTCTGAGAGAATTTTGTGTGCAGGACCAGTCCTTACTTACTCTCCTACAGGTAGAGGATCTTGGGGTTTTCCTTTCCTTCATTGCAGATGCTTAGTTTTACCTTTCTGACTTCTTTCAGCACTTGTTGGCGAGGATGCTAACAGGCGGGCAAGTATTATCCTTGGGGGACTGTCACAATACATTGCAAGAAAAGTCAAAGTCTGATCAGTGGTGGGGGATGCCAAATCCATGAAACCATAGTGGAAAAATACTTAAATAGATCATGTTACTTCATGTGGCTTGCTTTAATTTGCAAGTACGCTGTTCTCAGCCATATCCTATATATATTTAAAAGACCTGTTGTCGCCCCTGTAGATACACTGCAGCAGCAAATAGAAGTGGGTACTGTGGGTCCTCTGATGTTCCTTCTAGAAAAGCAGCAAGAGCATAGCACTTCAGAGTTGCCTTAATAAAGCAATTAAGATACTTTCATGACTTCTTTCTCCAAACCAAGAGGAAGGTGGAAAAAATTACTGTTGTGTGACTAACTATTAGTGTCTAACTTCTCACAGTAGCCCCGGTAGTTTATACTTTAACTTGGCAGCTTTTAAGACTGACAGTGAAATTATTTCATCTGTTTACTATCACATCCGCACACCACATGCAAAAATCCTGAAAGCTCATAACTCATTGATATATTTTTTAAAATATAAATAGAATCTATGATTCCTGTGATAGCCATGATAAACAGCTCCCATTATCCCTGACTGGCAGAGTGGGTTTTGTCAAAGCATGCATGATTATTATTTGTCTGACTGCAGTGCCCACAAGCCCAAATAATGTCCCAAAACCACACTGTGAAGGCACTATATGAAACATGGTCCCCACACCAAACAGCTTACAGCTGAAATCTAAAGCAAGAGATACATAGTGAAGGACAGAGAAACGCTGGGTCAGTTCAATAGACTGTAGTCGTAGCATATCATCAACTTGAATCTTTTTCAAGTTCTTTATAAGCATCAAAGCAAAACAGAGTTTTAAGGAGGGATTTGAAGAAAGAAAACGAGGTAGTCATGGACATTTACAAGAAGCTCAAGCTAACTGAGCAGGAGCATAAGAGAAAGCATGAAAGTATTTGAAAATCTATGAAGTAGGTGATGGAATCAGGGGATGAAGTGGGTGCCACAGGCTAATTAGAGGTGTGAACTGGTATCTTAGTACATACAGAATGAGAGATGGTAGACAGGAGGGGATAGACTGTGAAGGACTCTGAAAATGAAGAACAGTAGCTCAAGTTTGATTGTGGGCTTTTTTCAAGCCTCTCGTCTTGTATATTTGCTTTGACCTCACATATTATTCTATTAGCCTGACACCAGACAAATCTTAAGCCCTATCTGTTCCAATTGAAGTCAATAATAAAACTTCAGTGGGAGCAGGAGCAGGCCTTTAGTCTCAGCCACCTCTTCTCAAATTGAGTAATGTTTTTCTTGTAAAGTAAAGATCCACTCAGGATGAGTAATGATGGTAGAATTGGGCTTTTAGCTATTCATGCAAGGTGCAGATATTGGAGCTTCCTCCTCTACAGACTTTACATAGAAAGGATTTTTTTGGTTGGCTGGTTTTTGGTTTTCTGATTTATATTGTTTTCCAGATCTTCCTCTTCAGCTTTCTAATCATTGTTGTTGTCAAATAAAATGTAAACTCTTGAAATTGTACATCCCTGAAAAATAAGAAAACAGACCTTCAGTCCAGCCTTGTGATGCGTCTCATCTTCACTCAGTGTTCCATAAAGGGTATTCATGATCATTCTCTCTGCCTTTTTAATGGTATTTTTTCCCTCAGGCTACAGCTTCATGTCAGTTAATCTGTCAAAAAGGTCTATTTGCAGATTAACAGGTGAAATTCATCCAGAGGGCCAGCTCTTTTGGGGTTCATGCATGGTGCATAGGTCTTGAACTGGGCTTTTGCATAGGAGGGAATTTGCCTTTTATAGTGCTGCAGCTAGACTGCCTCAATTTGTCATAAGAGCCCCAGGTAATTGTTCTCCTTAGCCAAGTCCTAGTTACCTATATGACAGCCCATGCATGTACAAGCTTCAGACTGAATGAGGCCACACAGATCACTCAACTGTCGCATTCGAGTCTTGATGCACACACTGGTTTGCAACTCTGTAAAATTAAGTTAACTCTCTAAACAGATATATCCCTATAGTTGTCTAAGAAGAATACAATTTGGTAGAATCACTGTTTTTAAAACTTCTATTGTTAATTCTAAAGTTTAATACTGACTTACAGTTATAGTGATTTGTTTAATGATGATCTGTTGGTCACATTTTGCACTTTTATTTAAATCATGTCGCATTAATTTATAATTTAAAAAAATAAAATACAATGTACTGCATTTAGCATTTTGTTCCCTTTTACTGGATCCCAGTCTGGATTTTTAGTGCTTCTAAAGGGAATAAAATAGTCATTTATGTCAAAGATGTAATGTTTAGTCTGAGAAATGAGGAATCCAACTATGTAGGTCTTTGTTTTCCTCCCGGGTATTATTTTGTACTTTATAAAAACAGCCCTATCTTCTAACAGTTCTCAGACTGTCATTTCTTATGTATGTCAACTTTTCCCCTCCAGAATGTGTCATACTTTGTCCAGGTCATTTATTCTGGGTGTTTTTACATGGTTGTAATTGTACTGTACATCTTGCAGCCCAGGGGATGATTAATACAGTCATTTAAGTCATATGTCTCTCTTAATAGCGTGCACAATAAGCACGCCTCAATTTTCAGGGAAGGAACTTTTCAGCCTTTGGCTTGGGATTTCACCTCTGTTTTCAGGATGCTTCATAGCGAGGCAGACATCTAGCATGGATGGGGTGAGGAAGCAGCAGATAGATTAAAAAATGAAAAGGCAGTGTAGAGGAAGACACCCTTTATGTGGAGTCCCCTTTTTGGCTTCGAATTTGGAGACCCTCTCTCTTCTATTTCTATGACCATACAGAGGTAGATCAAATACTTCCTCTCTTCCCTTTGAGGGAAGAT